TCTAAATTGTGCCGTCCTGGGGTGTCCCTGGCGCCCTTGTGGGGGGTCGTTGCTCGTGGATGCTCCTGCGGGGACCATGAAGACAGTGTGACTGTTGCGATAGTTCTGCCTCTGAACTGGCCCTGCAGCGATCTTGGGGGCCTCTTGAGGGTATTTTTTGGGCCTCTTGGAGGCCTCTCGGGGGCCTCTTGGGAGCCTCTTGGGGTTCCTTGGCGGCGTCTTGTGGGCCCTTGCAGCCTCTTGGGGGGCTCTTGGGGACCTCTTGGGTCAGGAGGGGGGGCAGTCGATTGCTCCCCTCCCCTCGGAGGCCACGATCCTCGTGAGGGGTGTCGACAAATTGCCTGGTCTTGCATCTCTGATCCGAGTGTCCCGGGGGTCCTGGGGGTCTCCCGGGGGTCTCCCGGGGTACTTTTCGTCGGGGGACCCCCAGGGGCAGCCCCGCGCGCGCGAACTAGAATATTGTTGACCAGTTACCGGAGATCTTAGCACGCCTTTGGCCCGTTGGGCCGGCGAATGTGTGTGCATTTACTTCATCGTTTCGCTCATTCCGCAGGCCCTGGAGCCCTCTTTAGGGCCTCTTGGGAGCCTCTGGGAGACCTCTTGGGAGTCTCTTGGGGCTCCTTGGCGGCGTCTTGGGGCCCCCAGGGCCTCTTGGGAGGCTTTTGGGGGCCTCTTGGGGCGGGAGGGGGGATAGTCGATTGCGGCTCCCCCCTCGGAGGCCACGATCCTCGTGAGGGGCGTCGAAAAATGGGCCTCCCCTGGAGTGCTCTGGGGGCTTCTCCCGGGACCTTGCCGGGGTACTTGTCGTCCGGGGGCCCCCAGGAGCCGCTGCGCGCGAACTAGAAATACTGTTAACCACTTACCGGAGATCTTAGCACGCCTCTGGGCCGTTGGGCCGGCGAATTGTTTTAGCGTTTTCGGTCCCCACAAATTAAGCACGCAACACACACACAAATCATTGCTGTTGTGCGTTTTTAGCTACGTCTTTCCCCAACCGCCCTGTGGAGTTGGGTCCTCATTTCAAATTCGCAGCGCCGCACATCTCCTTCCCTCCTCCTCCCTCCTCCTCCTCTCTCCTCCTCCTCCTCCTCCTCCTCCTCCTCCTCCTCCTTCCGGCCCGTTGGGCCGGCGAATTTGTGTGTCCTGGGGCCCCTTTCAGTACCTTCCGGAAGATCTCGAGACGAATGTGAGCGGCGCCAGGGCGAGAGCCCCATCCTGAAGAGGAGCCGGCCTCCGCCCGTGTCAGGCTTTATATAAGCGTCATAGGCGCTGAAGCCGAGCGTGCGCGGCGGTGATGCGACGATGCTCTTTTGAAAACGGCGCAGCCTCCGTCCGTGTATCTGCACGACCGAAATTGGCACGGAAAGAATGGGTACAATGCCTAACAGCGGGTCTTGTTCATTTTGAACAGGACTCGCTGTCCACGCCGCCGCTGCCTGTGTCCATTCGAGACAGAAGGCCGCCTGCCCAACAGCGGCCGCTGTTGGTTTGGGACAACATTTGTTGTTGGGCATTGTATCCATTCTTTCCGTACCCATTTCGGGCGTCCAAAGTGTAACTGCTGCACGCTTTTAAGACATATGTGCTCGTTGCCAAGGCGAGGGCCTCATCTTGAGCAGGACCTGGCCTCCCATCTATGTAGCTGGAGGCTTTTGTGACGCACGTGCCGTGCGTTCGTGCGAGAGCAGTCGTTTGAAGACCATCTTCCACCAGTGTAATTGTTGCAGTTTTAACAATATCGGGGTCAATCTCTTGGTCGTCAAATCTGGGTAAGTCACAAGCGATAACCACATTATGAAGACGAGCTGGCCTCCTGGTCATCTTGTCAAAAGGTCTTAAGCGAGAGCCCCCTTTGAAAACGAATTGGTCTCCATCAGTTTAACTGTTGTACAGTCCAGCGGCTTTTGTTTTTAAAGGAAAGTTCAGGTAACAGCCCCCTTTGGAAACGACGTAAATGTTGGAAGCTTTGAAGACGAACGTGCGCGGCGCTGAGGCGATAGCCACAATTTGCAAAGCATCAGGCCTCCATCTACGTTTTCGCCGGAGGCTTTTAAGACGAATGTGCGCGGCGCTAATGCGAGAGCCCCATCTTGAAAAGGGCCCAGCCTCCCTCTGTGTAACTGTGGAAGCGGCCCGCACTGCCACGCCGGCGAATATCGCTGGCCCTGCTTCTTCTTCAACATTTCAATTTTTCAGAACAGTCGGCACGCATCTGGCGCGTCGTGGCCTCTTCGTTTTGAGTTGGCTGTGGTCACAAGTCGATTGGTATCTGACATTCTTCTCCGTTGCAAGCTTTTCAGACGCATATGTGCCCAGCGCTGAGGCGAGAGTATGGTGTCGTAGAGGGAAACAATCAGTGGACTTTCCCCCTCTCCCCCAAAACTCACAGTTGGCACGCGCGGCGGAGACTGCGGTCGAAATGCAGCTCAGCAGACCCACCGCCAGCTCTGAACACCGGGGAAGTGGGAGGCGTGGACCGAGGGAGGTGGCATGCGTGCTCGCTCTATTTCTCCGATGCCTGCACTTCCTGCTTCGCGCGTCGTGCTCTGTGCTGGAGAGCTTAGGTGAACAAGAAGTGGCATAAACATAAAAACTCGGAGGTCCGCGCGGATTTCTCGGATCGGCGCTGGACCCCCCTCCCTGGCGCGCGGAGCGCGCCAGGGGCGGCGCCGGAGGCGCCGCCAGGGGGCCCCAGCGCCGATCCGAGAAATCCGCGCGGACCTCCGAGTTTTTATGTTTATGTCATTCTTCGTCTCTTTAGGGGTGGCGCGAGGGCCCAGAGAGAGATCACCGCTCGCCGCGCACACCGCGGGGCGCGACGCGCGGAGCCGGGGGACAGACCCCGGGGAAGTGGCGGGGAGGAAGAGGCCGGGCCCCCCCGGGGGGGCGTTCCCCCTCCTCCCTCCTCCTCCCCTCCTCCTCCTCCTCCTCCTCTCCTCCTCCGCCTCCTCCGACCTCTCCTCCCTCCTCCCCCTCCTCCTCCTCCTCCCCTCCTTCTCCGCCTTCTCCTCCTCCTCTTTCTCCTCTCCTCCTCCTCCTCCTCCTCCTCCTCCTGCTCCTCCTCCTCCTCCTCCTCCTCCTCCTCCCCAGAGACCAGCTTCGGGGCCCACGAGACGGGGGTCAGTGCAAGCGGGGGTCAGTCAGAGCGCCGGATCTCGCAGGGTCCTGCAGAGCCAGGGGCGCACTGAGCTGGGCTTGGGTGCGGGATCCTGCAGGATCTTGCAGCATCCTGCGAGGCCCGACCGACCCGGGTCTGGATTCACCTGGGTCGGCCAGCCCTGGACCCCAGGACCAGCTTCTCACCCCGAGCCGCTCTTGCGCGGCCCCAGGGGCCCGTGGGTGGCCCCACGGAGCCCGAAGCCAGCCGACAGCAGACGCTCCCAGGGCCCGCCTCCCCGAGGGCCCACCGGTGGCCTCACGGCGGCACTCCTCCGCAGCCCACATCCGACACTGCAAGTACAGCTGCAAGATCACAACAAAAAAGGCACGATCGCTTTACGAGCCAGAGCGATCTGGGTGAGGGCCTCGGGGCCCAAAATGCTGGGCGAAAGCGCCCGCTGCGAAGCGCGAGCTGCGACGCGCCGTGAGGGTCGCCCGAGAGCCGCGGCGCGCGAAGCGCGATCTGCGACGCCAGGGTCTCAGGGCGCGGCCCAGGCCGCGCACACGGCGGGCGTCGCCGCGCCCGCGGCCGCCGCGGGGGCGTGCCCCCCCCCCCCCCCCCGCAGGGACGAGGACGCGCCGCCCGCGCGAGGGCCCACCCGTGTCGGCGACCACACAGGGTGTGGTCACGCTGGGGTGTGGCTTGCCATCGGCGCCCTTGGGGCTTTGGGCGCACCACGCTGCCCTCGTCGGGCCTCCTCGGGGCGCGGCGGAGCACTTCTTCGAGGTCCTCGCCTGCCCCCCAGGGTGCGGGTTGCGAATCACGGCCTGTGTAGGCCACGCTCGTGGAAGTCGCCGACTGGCCTCGCGGCGGCACCCCTCCGCAGCCCGGCCGCGCATGGCCCAGGTCGCGCACGTGGCTGGCGCCGCCGCGCCCGCGGCCGCCGCGGCGGCGGACGGGGACGCGCCGCCCTCGCGCTCATTCCGAGACGCCGAGGCGCTGCCTTCGGCGGAGGCGGCCCACGCCGCGGTCGCGGCCTCCCGCGTCGTGTCCGCGCCGCGGCCGCCCGCGGAGGTGGCCGTGACCGCGGCGTGGGCGCTGTGCCGCGGCGCCGCGGCGGCCGCCGCGCCCGCGGCCGCCACCGCAGCGCCGTCCGAGGCTTGGCTGCGCGTGGTGGTGCAGTCCGCCGTGAGCGGGGAGGTGCTGCGCCTGCAGGCGCGCCGCAGCACCGGGAGGGCGAGGTGTGCCTTGCCTTGCAGGGCCGGCTGCGCGCAGGCGTGACCCGTCGCTGGAGCGACCGCGGGTGCGGGCCCACAGGGGTCCTCCAAGCACCGGCCCGCGCGCCTGGATTTGGCCCACACCGCAGCCTCCTAAGGTCGCGCACCAGAGGTCGCTCTTGCCTGGGGTTGCTCTTGCCTGCAGCCGAGCAGAGGAGCAACAGGGCCCCCCCCCAGGGGCGCGCAGATGATCGCGCTTCGCCCGTCGCGGTCTGGGGCAGAACGGTTCCCCTTCTCCAAGGCGGCGGCGCGAGGGTGCGATGCGCGGAGAGAGCTGCGCGTGGCGCATCGCGGGGCGCGATGCGCGATGTTGGGCTAGCAGAGTCGAAGTGCCAGAACGATGCGTTGGCCACCCCGTCGGGTGAGATCGGCGGGGAATGGGGGCCTGAGGGATGGAGCGCCCTTAGGGGATGGGTCTGGGTTGGTCAGCACGGGTAGCCTGGCGTGGCTGTTTGACGCCGCCGAGCCTCCGCGGCGTCTTGCGGGGCAAGGTTCTGGGGTTTGGGCAGTTGTGGGCAGGTTGGGGGAGAGCCCCTCTCCGCCAGGCCCCGGGCCGAAGAGGGGCTCGTGGATGTGTTCGGTGCTGCTGGTGGTGGGGTCACTCCACTCCCCCTCCCGAGCAGAGACTCTGTCCAGACCGTGAGGGACGCGGTGGCGGACAGATGGCAGGTGCCCGCTGTCTGCCAGCAGCTGGCGCTGGGCCCGCGCGTGCTGCGGGCAGGCGAGCGGCTGCACGACCTCTCCGGCGGCACGGCGGGCGACCCCGGCGAGGAGCTCACGCTCACCATGGCGGTCTCCTGCGAGCGGGTCCTGGCCGAGCTGGTCGCCGAGGGCGTGGCCCCCGAGCGCCAGGCCGAGGCGCTGGCCGCGCTGGGGCAGCTGGGCCGGCGGGCCGGCCAGGCGGTCGACCGGGTGATCGCGTGCACGTCGTCGGAGGACCGGGCCCTCAAGCTGGGGGCGGTGGTCTGGGCCTCCCAGATGGGGTCCGAGCAGATGGGGTCGGAGGATCGCGCCGCATCGCCGATGCACCGACGATGCGGCTCGATGTGGAGCCCGTGTTTCCCCGCGCCGACGTCGCCGATGCATCGGCGATGCAGTGGCGACGCGGCGCGATCCTCCGACCCCGTCTGCTCGGGCCCCGCCCGGGAGGCCTCCAGGTGGCCGCCCTGGGCGAGGTGGCGGGCCCCGCCGACCCGCGCGCGGTGGCGGCGCTGGGCTCCCGCCTGGAGGACTCGAGCGCGGCCGTGCGGCTCGCCGCAGCGGCGGCGCTCGCCAAGGTGCGACGACACGGAAGGAGGGGGGCCTGTCTCGGGAGGGGAAAAAGACACACACACACAGAGACACGAGTCATCGTCGATTCCCCAGAACAGGTGAGAAGGTGTGGGCAGAAGGGGGGGAAGACAGGAGCCAAGACAATGTGGGAACATGCGGGGGATCCTGTCATTTGTGTCTCTTTGTTTGTGTGCCCCAGGGCCCCTCCACTTTCGCCGGCGTGACCTCGGGTTGCGGGCCGGGCCCGTGGGGGTCCCCCGACCGCCGGATGGCGGCGATGCGATGGCGGCGCCTCCCTGCGCGCTCGGCTTTGGCCCCCCCCCCCCCCCCCCCCCCCCGCGGCTCCCCGAGGGCCGCGCACCCCTGGGGCCGGCCGCTCTCGGGGCCTCCGCTCCCCGCCGCCCAGAGGTCTGCGGCAGGGGGCACCCCGGCGCCCTCGCGCTGGTGGGCGCGCTGGTGGAGCACCCCTCGGGGGCCGGACGAAAAGGGGGGGACGGGGAAATCAGGAGGGGAAAACACACACACACACACAGACACAATCAATCGTCGATCCCCCCGAAACTATGAGAAGTGGGGGGGAAGACAACAACCCAGAAAATATGGAAAATATGGGGAATCCTGTTATTTGTGTGTATTGATTTGTGTGTCCCAGGGCCCCGTCAGGAAAGGGGTGCTGCATGCATCAGGTTTCGGCCCCGCCGCCGGGCCCAATCCTCGACGCACGGGCGCCTCCCGGCGCCAGGAGGCGCCAGGAGGCGCCGGGAAGATCAGCTGCCTGAGCCGATGCTCCCCCCCCCCCCTTGGCTGTCCCCCCCTTCTCGCCCGGCCCGGCCCTCGGGGGCCGTCCGCGCCTTCGCCGCGGAGGCGCTGGGCGTCCTGGCGGACCGGGGCGACCCGGGCGCCCTGGCGGAGGCGAGCGCGCGGCTGGGCCACGCGGACCCGGCCGCGAGGCAGGCCGCCGTGCGGGGCCTGCGCCGCGTGGCCCGCGAGGGGGACGCTCGGCGGCAGGTCGCGGGAGCCCCGCTCATCCTCGGAGCTCCGTGTCTGCGGGATCCGGCTTGAATGTTCGATGCTCGTTTTGGGGACCTTTCTGGGGCCCACCTAATGGATCTGTTTGCCTCCAGTTCGACTCCAGTTCGACTCAAGTTCGACTCAGGTTCGACTCAGGTTCGACTCAGGTTCGACTCAGGTTCGACTCAGGTTCGTCTCAGGTTCGACTCGAGTCGACGGACATTCGACGCAGCTTCGACGCACGAGTGGAGCGAGTGGCTCGAGGAAGGTCCCCAGAACGAGCAGCCCATGAATGCAGTCGGCCCGGATTGATTAGTGGGTCGACCCTGCCGGATCAAGGGTAATTGCCCTCGTGCCCTGTGCCTCGCGACCCATGCCTCCTGCAGTCCTGTGGCAGTGTGGCCCTCGGAAGGTGTCTCGTGTCCTCTCGCGTGTCCTGTCCAATCGAGGCCGACTGTAAGGAACACTTGCTTTTCAAAAGGGACTACGTTCCCTGTACTTTTCAGAAGGGCTTCGTAGACTTACTTGGAAACAACAGGGGCTTCGTTCCTTATGTATCGTTCCTTAGGTCAGGCCGAATACTGTAGCGTGCGCCAGCGTGCGCTGGCGTCTGGTGGGACGGAGCCAGAATTAAGTCGGGCACGTCTTCTACAGGAGGAATATTCAAACATAGTCAAAAAGTAGTCTGGGTACGAATTTTCGACTATTTTTTCGCAATTTTTGTTTTCTTTTGTAAAGAAGTTTTTCTGCCAGATCCGCCTGTAAGAGGACATGCCTGACCTAAAGCTAGGACAAGGATAGCTTTGAGAAGGCCGCGGCGCCCGAGACATGCTTCAGAACCGCTGGATCTCAGAGATTCTCGATCTGTCCTTACCCGATGTTATCCTCGTCCTGGCTTCGTCTTAATCCGCACTCGACGAGAAAACGCCGATTCAGTGCCGATCCAGCGTCGATTCAGCGTCCGTCAGCGTCGGTCAGCGCCGATCCGCAAGAGCCAGCGTTGCTTGCGTCTCGATTTTTTTGAGACACGGCCCCCCGACCTCTCGACCACCTCGAGTCTTTCTTTTGCACGGTCCTGAGGCCCAGTTAGGGCCTCGAGAGGCCGAGAGCGAGGACAGGACTTCTTCTCACGTCTTCGAGACGCAAGAAGTCGGGGTTCCCACGAGTTGCCACCGAGCGGGGGACGCGCTCGCGGTCTCCGCGCTGGCCGCGCGGTGCGGGGACGAGATGCTGGGCCAATTTTCCACCACCACTGCCATATGTAGGACGGGGGAGAAGGGAGGATCTGGAGGTCCTCCTCCTCCTCCTCCTCCTCCTCGTCCTTTTCCTCCTCCTCCTCCTCCTCCTCCTCCTCCTCCTCCTCCTCCCCCGCCCTGCATGTGGTAGTGGTGGTGGCAAAAGGGGCCCACCAGCGAGAGCAGCAGCGTGCGGCAGGCGGCGCTGGAGGCGCTGGGGCAGGTGTGCAGCAGGGGGTCGCAGCCCGCGCTCGCCGCGGCGCGGTCGTGCTTCGGGGACGGCTCGCCGGCGGTGAGGAGCGCGGCGGTGGACCTCGTGGGGAGGGTTGTGGCTCGGGGGAGGAAGTCCAGGCCTCACCTCCTCCCTCTTTCGTCTCCTGGGGTCGAGCCCCACAGTTTTGTCATACCCTTGCGTCTCACTTTTCCCTAATGAGCCCCCCATCCCGCCAAAGTCTTTGCCGGGTTGGTGGGGCAGGACAGGTTTGCATGGCGACAGACATCGCCTCTTACAGCCGCTAGCAGCAGCAGCAGCAGCAGCAGCAGCAGCAGCAGCAGCAGCAGCAGCAGGCCTCCTATCAGGCGATCGCAAACATGGATCCAAGGGGGCGTGGTTTGGCGGCGGGTCCCGTTTGCACGGGGAATCGGGGATCTCCGCCGCCGAGCGAGGCGGCACCGGCCGCATTTTGGGGAGGGCACCTCCCCGAATCCATGGATTTGGCGACCGCGCGCCAAATCCATGGATCGCTCATCCATGTTTGTGCGCCCCCGATCCTAGATGGGGTCCGAGTAAATGGGGTCGCAGAATCGCGCCGTATCTTCCATGCATCGGCGATGCGGCTCGATGTGGGGCACAAGTTTCTCCACGCTGGCGTCGCCGATGCATCGCTGATGTGGCCGATGCGTCGCCGATGCATTGGCGATGTATCGCCGACGTATCGGCGATGCGGCGCGATCCTCCGACCCCATCTACTCCGACCCCATCTGGGAGGCCTCCTTAGGAAAATCGGAGGCCTAGAGGTTGACACTAACACTACACCAATGTCGGCGGCGTGCTTCCACTGAAGGAAGACGATCCCGATTCGTGCGATGGTGGTAATATTCGGGCTTCCTAGGTGCCCGAGAGTTATACCACCAACAGAATCCAGCATCAGGTTCCTTCCGTGGAGGCACCCCCTTGTGTTGGTGTTGGTGCCCACTACCAAGCTTCCAAGAAAATGTACCCATACCGCTACAGTGGAGACCCGTTCCAAGAAACACCCTGCTCGCCTCCAGGGTGCCCTGGGTTTCTTGGGTTTCCATGGTTCTGCCATGGACGGCGTGACGTTCCCACACCAAAATCCAGTGGACGTCCCGGGGTCTCAGGGTTGGGCTTCTCGTGGAAGGTTTCTTGTGGTCGAGCTCCTACTGTACCCTTCCCTCGTTTCCCCTTTGTGGGCCTCCTGGCAGGCCCTCGTCGCCGCTGAATTCGCTTCGGAATCTTGCTTAGAACGCCCCCTGGGAGAGGTCCGGGGAGTATTGTTGAGTCGGGCCTGTCCCTCTGAAGGTGGGGACTATTTTTCGAATATTTGTTTTGAACTTTGTTGAGTATTTTTCCCCATATCCTAAGATGGGGTTCTTGTTCCCCATATCCTAAGATGGGGTTCTTGTTATTACTTGGACGCCTCCTACTCCTCCTCCTTCTTCCTCCTCCTCTTTTCTCCTCCCCTCCTGTCGGACATACTCAGACTTGCTCATACACAGACTTATTCATACTCAGACTTACTCATACTCAGACCTACTCATACTCAGACTTACTCACACTCAGACATACTCATATACAGACTTACTCATACACAGACTTACTCATACACAGTATTAGTCATACCCAGACGTACACATACACAGACTTACTCATACACAGACTTACTCATACTCAGCACCCCTAAGGGGAGCCGCCAGGGGTGGTTGCACGGGCTCGTTCGCGGCCATTTTGTGGGGATGTCTCAGGCGGTTTGCCTGTTTCTGTGCCCAACATCCTTCGCTTTCGGAGCAGATTTGGAGGATGTCTCGAGCGAGGCGCTCATTTCAGCACCCCTAAGGGGAGCCGCCAGGGGTGGTTGCACGGGCTCGTTCGCGGCCATTTTGTGGGGATGTCTCAGGCGGTTTGCTTGTTTCTGTGCCCAACATCCTTCGCTTTCGGAGCAGATTTGGAGGATGTCTCGAGCGAGGCGCTCATTTCAGCACCCCTAAGGGGAGCCGCCAGGGGTGGTTGCACGGGCTCGTTCGCGGCCATTTTGTGGGGATGTCTCAGGCGGTTTGCCTGTTTCTGTGCCCAACATCCTTCGCTTCGGAGCAGATTTGGAGGATGTCTCGAGCGAGGCGCTCATTTCAGCACCCCTAAGGGGAGCCGCCAGGGGTGGTTGCACGGGCTCGTTCGCGGCCATTTTGTGGGGATGTCTCAGGCGGTTTGCCTGTTTCTGTGCCCAACATCCTTCGCTTCGGAGCAGATTTGGAGGATGTCTCGAGCGAGGCGCTCATTTCAGCACCCCTAAGGGGAGCCGCCAGGGGGTTGCACGGGCTCGTTCGCGGCCATTTTGTGGGGATGTCTCAGGCGGTTTGCCTGTTTCTGTGCCCAACATCCTTCGCTTTCGGAGCAGATTTGGAGGATGTCTCGAGCGAAGCGCTCATTTTCACCCCCCAGGTGGGCCAGATTTTGAGGATGTCTCGATCGGGTTGCTAGTTTTGGTGGCCAGGCTCGTGGGCGCAGATTCTTCCCAGGATGCCACAGGATGCTCCAACAGGCTCCAGGAGGCTCCAGGAGACCACATGAGGTCCCAGGAGGCATCAGGAGGCCACAGAAAGACTCAAGAGGCCACAGGATGTCCCAAGAGGCTCCAGGAGGCCCCAGGAAGCTCCAGAAGGCTTCAGGAAACCACAGGAGGCCCCAGGAGGCAACAGGAAGCGCCAGGAGGCCTCGGAAGGCAACAGGAGGCCCCGAGAGGCCCCAGGAGCAGGAGGCCTCAGAAGGCAACAGGAGTGGCTCCAATCCCATGTGTTTTACGTATGCTCCTATCGATTGGGCCTCACCTGGAGCACGATTCTTTGATGTTCTACGTATGTTTCTATATATGGTCCTTCTCCTGTGTACACAATCTTAAATGTTTTACTCATGTTCCTATGTATTGGGCCTCTCCTGGGGCACGAGTCCTTGGTGTTTTACGCGAGTTCCTATATATTGCACTTCTCCTGTGGCTCTAATCCGCAATGTTTTATGTACGTCTGTTGCTATAGATTGCGCCTCCCCTGGGGCACGAAACCTTCCTAGGATGTCCCAGGAGGTCCCAAGAGGCTCCTGGAGACCCCAGGAAGCCCCAGTAGGTTTCAGGAGGCCCCAGGAGGCCCCAGGCTCATGCACAGAGACGCGCTCGTACTATTGAGGCTCATTCACACTCCAATTCTTTCGCAGTTAGATTGATGTCCAGACCGTTACAACTGAAGCCCGTTAATATTCGAAAGCTCTTTCGCCTAGACATTCACGGCGGACAGGTCCATGCGAGTAGATGCACATATGGGGAGCTCCACGCAGTGAATATTTATTACTTGGACGCCTCCTACTCCTCCTTCCTCCTCCTCTTTTCTCCTCCCCTCCTGTCGGACATACTCAGACTTGCTCATACACAGACTTACTCATACTCAGACTTACTCATACTCAGACCTACTCATACTCAGACTTACTCACACTCAGACATACTCATATACAGACTTACTCATACACAGACTTACTCATACACAGTATTAGTCATACCCAGACGTACACATACACAGACTTACTCATACACAGACTTACTCATACTCAGCACCCCTAAGGGGAGCCGCCAGGGGTGGTTGCACGGGCTCGTTCGCGGCCATTTTGTGGGGATGTCTCAGGCGGTTTGCCTGTTTCTGTGCCCAACATCCTTCGCTTTCGGAGCAGATTTGGAGGATGTCTCGAGCGAGGCGCTCATTTCAGCACCCCTAAGGGGAGCCGCCAGGGGTGGTTGCACGGGCTCGTTCGCGGCCATTTTGTGGGGATGTCTCAGGCGGTTTGCCTGTTTCTGTGCCCAACATCCTTCGCTTTCGGAGCAGATTTGGAGGATGTCTCGAGCGAGGCGCTCATTTCAGCACCCCTAAGGGGAGCCGCCAGGGGTGGTTGCACGGGCTCGTTCGCGGCCATTTTGTGGGGATGTCTCAGGCGGTTTGCCTGTTTCTGTGCCCAACATCCTTCGCTTTCGGAGCAGATTTGGAGGATGTCTCGAGCGAGGCGCTCATTTCAGCACCCCTAAGGGGAGCCGCCAGGGGTGGTTGCACGGGCTCGTTCGCGGCCATTTTGTGGGGATGTCTCAGGCGGTTTGCCTGTTTCTGTGCCCAACATCCTTCGCTTTCGGAGCAGATTTGGAGGATGTCTCGAGCGAGGCGCTCATTTCAGCACCCCTAAGGGGAGCCGCCAGGGGTGGTTGCACGGGCTCGTTCGCGGCCATTTTGTGGGGATGTCTCAGGCGGTTTGCTGTTTCTGTGCCCAACATCCTTCGCTTTCGGAGCAGATTTGGAGGATGTCTCGAGCGAGGCGCTCATTTTCACCCCCCAGGTGGGCCAGATTTTGAGGATGTCTCGATCGGTTTGCTAGTTTTGGTGGCCAGGCTCGTGGGCGCAGATTCTTCTCAGGATGCCACAGGAGGCTCCAACAGGCTCCAGGAGGCTCCAGGAGACCACATGAGGTCCCAGGAGGCATCAGGAGGCCACAGAAAGACTCAAGAGGCCACAGGATGTCCCAAGAGGCTCCAGGAGGCCCCAGGAAGCTCCAGAAGGCCTCAGGAAACCACAGGAGACCCCAGGAGACAACAGGAAGCGCCAGGAGGCCTCGGAAGGCAACAGGAGGCCCCGAGAGGCCCCAGGAGCAGGAGGCCTCAGAAGGCAACAGGAGTGGCTCCAATCCCATGTGTTTTACGTATGCTCCTATCGATTGGGCCTCACCTGGAGCACGATTCTTTGATGTTCTACGTATGTTTCTATAGATGGTCCTTCTCCTGTGTACACAATCCTAAATGTTTTACTCATGTTCCTATGTATTGGGCCTCTCCTGGGGCACGAGTCCTTGGTGTTTTACGCGTGTTCCTATAGATTGCCCTTCTCCTGTGGCTCTAATCCGCAATGTTTTATGTACGTCTGTTGCTATAGATTGCGCCTCCCTGGGGCACGAAACCTTCCTAGGAGGTCCCAGGAGGTCCCAAGAGGCTCCTGGAGACCCCAGGAAGCCCCAGTAGGTTTCAGGAGGCCCCAGGAGGCCCCAGGCTCATGCACAGAGACGCGCTCGTACTACTGAGGCTCATTCACACTCCAATTCATTCGCAGTTAGATTGATGTCCAGACCGTCACAACTGAAGCCCGTTAATATTCGAAAGCTCTTGCGCCTAGACATTCACGGCGGACAGGTCCATGCGAGTAGATGCACATATGGGGAGCTCCACGCAGTGAATAATTGCTTGTCGTCCAAATTCCGCCTGTAGGGGGACATGCCCGACCTAAGAGTAGCAGTATCGGTGCCCTTTGGTTTCCCCAGGTGGAGGTGGCCGACGAGCAGGTCTCGAAGCTTAGCCAGCGAGCCCACACCGAGAGTCGGAACACTCCTCGGCGAGCCTTCTCTTGTTCCGTGCCACGTGCTCTCACGACACGACCGAGTGCAGCAGGAGGAAAGCACGGATCGTGATTAGGTTGTTCTCGTTGATTGTTATCGTTGTTATCGTTAACGACGAGCAGGTCCCGATGAAGAGAAGCATGCATGATCATACATTTTCGAAGCTCCTCGCGGGTTTCTCGGATCGGCGCTGGGCCCCCCTGGCGGCGCCTCCGGCGCCGCCCCTGGCGCGCTCCGCGCGCCAGGGAGTGGTGTTTCGAAGCTCCGCGCGGGTTTCTCGGATCGGCGCTGGGCCCCCTTGACGGCGCCTCCGGCGCCGCTCCTGGCGCGCACCGCGCGCCACAGAGGGCGGTCTAGCGCAGATCAAAAAATTCCGCGCGGAGCTTCGACAATTTATGTTTATCATGGCGCCCAGCTCCTAACAGCCAAAAGGGTGTGTGACCGACAAATATACGTGACCCAAAACGTGCCCGAAATTGCAACCGAAAACGTAGTGTGGCCGACATTGTGACCAAAGCTGAAAAATCGTCATACTCGGGCTCGGTCGGAAAGTTTCGGGCGCCAGCTTCGGTCACGCTCGGGCGGATCTTCGGGCACAGTTTCTGGCACTGCATCCCTCCCTGATAGAGACGTGTCTTTGCCTTTTTTTTTTTTTTTTTTTTTTTTTTTTTTTTTGTTTTTTTGTTTTTTTCCGTTTTTCGTTTCTTTCTAAGTTCTTCGCCGACCTCGGGGAGCACCTCCAGCACGACAGCGCCCTCGTGAGGCAGGCAGCCGTGCGGTGCGTGTCCAAGGTCGCCAGGCGCGGCAACGAGGCAGCCGCCGCCGTCCTCGGCGTGCTGTGCAGGGATCGCGACCAGCTGGTCACCGAAGACTCGGGGAAACGTAAGACTCGAGTACGCTGGAGCTTGGGTTTGCCGACGATTCCTGACGAGCGCGTCCTGGATTTTGACGTTCCACTTTTCGTGGGTTGTTTGCAGCGAGAGCTACCGTTAAATGTCAGAGTGGGTCTCGCCATTTTCATGATGGCCCCGTGAGGCCAACCCGAGCCCCCCGAACCAAAGCTTTACGTCTCCCCGAAAGAAGAAAAAGCTCATAAGCATACACTTTCGGCGGTCCGCGCGGATTTCTTGGATCGACGCTGGGCCCCCCTGGCGGCGCCTCTGGCGCCGCCCCTGGCGCGCTCCGCGTGCCAGGGAGGCGGTCCGGCGCGGATCCCACAAACCCGCGCGGCTCTCCAAACGTTCATGCTTATGCCTTGTTTTCTTCTTCTAGGTCAGGAAAGCGGCTGTGGAGGTGCTGGGACAAGTTGCCCCTAGGGGCGACAGGCAAGCCATCTCTGTCGTGGTCGACTGCCTAGTAGACGACCCGTTCCAGGGTGTCCGGCGAGCTGCCGTGGATACGCTGGGCATGATCGGAGAGAAGGGGGACCAGCAGGTGATCTCCAAAGCGGGTCGCCGCCTGGAGAACAAGAACGATGAGTTCATCATGAGCGTTGCAGCAGCTCTCGAACAGCTTCGGGGCCTCTGAGCTTCGAGGAGCAAAACAACATTCATCACCTGCTCGTCGGTGTCAGCCTTGGTTGCATCTTGTCTACGAGTGTTGGTGTCCCCGTCCTTGGACCTTTTTTCTTTCCGATACTTGGGTTCTCAGATCCCTCGACCCCTGGGGACTGCAGTTTCATCCTGTCTTGTTTCGCGGGTGTAGCCATTTTTCGTTTGCGAGGTGGACCTACTTGAGAATAATCGAAACTGATAGATGGCAGTTTTATCTTTGCCATGGTTCAGGATATGCCTGCTCCTAGCAGTTTTAGGCCTGGGGGTGAGAATATGATGCTGGCAGTTTTAACCATGGGGCTGGATGAGAAACTTATACTGCGACCTAGGCCGCTTGCTTGCAGTTCTAGGCCAGGAGTGATGATATGCCGCTCGCAGACTTAAGCCACAGGAGATCTTGGAGGCCTCGTGGACCGTCTGAGGCTGTCAGACATCCCTGATTAATGTCCAATGGCGTTGTTTTTGGGGGCTCTTCGGGAGGCTTCTCGGGCTGTCTTGGGGGGGGGGGTGATGTGCCGCTGGGTGCCTTCGGGGCGTCCCAGGAAATCAGGGGCGGGTTGGCAGCCCGATCGCCACCACAGCCCGACGGGGCTGTGGGAGAGACTCTTTGGCCCTGTGGTTTACCAACTACATCTGGTGCGGGCCCGCCGTACCACCCCTGAGAGGCCCGATGGGGTTACTCGACGGGGTCCCTCGACGGCGGGGGCGCGGGAACTGAAGAAGTCCTCGGGCAGTAGGGTCTCCGCTGTTTGAGGCCGGCGGCCAAGTGGGGGTGGCGCTGGTGGCCGTGTCTTGGGGGGGCATCTCGAGGCACATCGCATCGGCTGCGCAGATGTGACGCCTGGGGTGTGTCAGTGCTGCCATTCATGTTGCGAGGTCCGACTGCATGTGAATTCATGCAGGCACCTCGGGCACCTCGGGCACCTCATGGAAGATGGTATAACTTATAATCTATGTGACGGCGACGGCGACGGCGGCGACGGGCGGCACCACCCGCAAAAACCGCCACTCGCCCCGATTGGCGGCGACGGCGACGGCGACGACGGCGACGGGCGGGATCGCCCGCAAGAGCCGCCACTCGCCCCGAGCGGCGGCGACGGCGACGGCGACGGCGGCGACGGGCGGCACCGCCCGCAAAAGCCGCCACTCACCCCCAGATGGTTAAGCCAAGTAAAAACCAGTAAGTGCAAGCTCTGTTTGGGGAATTTGCAATAGTTTCACGCATTGAGGGCAGGCCGCTTTCAAAATGTGGCTCTCGCCTTAGCGCCACGTGTCGTTTTTAAACTGCAGGAGTTTCACATACTGAGGGCGGTTCTTTTTCAAAATGTGGCTCTCGCCTTAGCGCCGCGCACACTCGTTTTTAACTGTGCAAGAATCTCAAGGATTTCCATGATCAGCGTACTAGAAATGGTGTGTTGGAAAGACTCGGGATTACGAGGGCGCAACAGGTACGTTGACTCGCAGTGTTGGCGTCCCAGCAGTGGCTTTCTGGCACGATTCAGGGTCGTCAAGATGCAGCAGTTATGTTGATCCGTGGCGTTGGAATCCCGAGAACACTGCCTTGGCATGCTTCCGGGTTTTCAAACGGTTGTCTTCCAACGAGGCAGTTCCCTCAATGGAAACGAACCGTTGTAGGGGACTGTGAAGAGGGAGCTTGGAAGGGAGGGTTTCTTCCCACATCATTGATGACTCTTTGGTTTACACTGGTCCTCCTCCTCCTGATCTCCGCCTCCTCCTCCTCCTCCTCCTCCTCCTCCTCCTCCCTGCTCGTCCTCCTCCCCCTCCTCCTCAGATGTTCGGTTTGGGGACCTTTCCGGGGTCCACCTGACGGATCAGTTCGATTCTAGTTCGACTCTAGCTCAACTCTAACTCGACTCAAGTTCGACTCAAGTTCGACTCAGGTCGACGGACGTTCGACGCAGCACCGACGCATGAGTGGAGCCACCTGCTCCAGGAAGGTCCCCAGAACGAGCGTCTAATCCTCCCCGTCCTCCTGATTGACGATTCTCATACGGTTTTCTTCCATGGGGGCACTTCCCGCAGTGAAGATTGGTTTGTGTAGGGACCTGTGAATAGGGAAGTTGGGGGGTTGACTGTGACATCGTTTGTGTGCATTGGGTTTGCACCGGTCCTCCTCCTCTTTGCCCTCCTTGCTCCTGAAGCTCAGGGGACCTGGATCGTCGATCGTCCTCCTGCTCCTCCTACTCCTCCTGCTCCCTCCTGCTCCCTACCTCTTGCTCTTCCTTTTCCTCCTCCTCCTCCCCGATCGTCTCCCTCCCTCCTCGTGGCTGGGGACCCCTCCCCCCCCCCGCCGTTCGCAGCCGGCGCGGCCGCGGGTGCGCGGGCCGCGCCGGCCCGGGCCGCGTGGCGCGGCGTCCCTCCCTCCGCCCCCCCCCCCCCCCTCGCGGGCACATTCACGTCCATGGCCTCCTCTGTCCTAGCCCGCTATCCTCCTTTGTGCTCCTCCTCCTCCTCCTCCTCCTCCTCCTCCTCCATGCTCCTCCTCGTTCTCCATGCTCCTCCTCTTTCCTCCTCTATCCTCCTCGGTGCTCCTCCTCCCTTCCGCCTCTTCCTCCTCTGCCTCCTCCTCCTTTTCCTTCTCTGTTCCCCTCGTCCTCCTCTGTCCTCCTCGTTGTCGTCCTCCTCTGTCCTCTTCGGAGCCGTTCTGGCTTAGGCGTTTCGCCTGCGCTCGCAACAGCATATCTTCAGAACGGCGCGTTGCTGTTGCGGGCCTCGGCGGCTTTGTTCGGGTCGATGGACCTTCTGCTTTCATTCCTCTCACTCGCTCCCATCGGAGCCCTTGTGTCCACCACCACGCCTTCGCTGGGCTCGTGGCGGGCAGCGGCGGCGGCGGTGGGAAAGGACGCGTCTCGTGGAGCCTTGGCATGGCAGCTGGGGCAGCGCGAACATCGCGGTGAGGTGCAGCCTCCTGGTTCGACGCCACCATGCCGCGAGATGTGGCCTGCCCTCGCTCCTGGTTGTCAGTCAGTATCCTTTATCCGATCCCCATCCCCATCCCCATCCCCTTCGAGACCCCCACCAAATAACCCCCCCAGTTGGGGATACACCCCTCGAAACCCGAAGGGAACGGCCTATACCCCCATCTAGGGGGGTAAATCGGCCAGTGGTGCCCAGGCCACGCCGCTGGGGATGGGGATCGGGTAAACGATACTCAGTCAGGGTCTTCCTGATGGGGCTCCTCATCGTGGAGGCACTGGTGCTGGCAACGGGGAGTGGGTCTGTGAGCAGCGTGGCCGCCGCCGCAACACGCCCGAGTTCTACTCCAGCAAGCCCTTTCGGGCCCACGCGAGACCAGTCGTCTGCCCGGTCGTCGTGGGCGCTCGAGGCCTCGAAGCCGCTCTTTCGTGGACGGGATGCGGCAGCTCGTGCGCCTGGCGCGTCACGAGGACCGCAAGCTCGTGACCAGGGGAAGTCCATCGCAGGGGCCCAGTCGCTGATCTCGAGTACTTCGTTGCCCTGCACCCTAAACCCTGCACCCTGCACCCTAAACCCTGCACCCTAAACCCTAAACCCCAAACCCTAAATCCTTAATCTTATGATTATTTAACCATGAACATCCTGGCTCCACGCGTCCCGATTCCATCCGAATTCCTGCGTGCATAATCCATTGCACAAAGTACATTTTCCTGGCAACCCTGGATGTAAACCGGCGCCGTCCCTTGCACATCATATTATTTCCTGATCATGCGTGCTGTAAGCCCTCGCCATCCCTTGCAAAACAATTATTTCCTGATCATGCGTGCTGTAAACCCTCGCCATCCCTTGCAAACGCAATTTTACCTGAAGTTCATACACCTATGAGACTTTCCTTAACAAGGAAGTGCTCCTTAGGTCTCCGAAAGTTCTTTATGGTAGGGTGGTTTTCGGGTGGGACTGGCGGCCACCGCAGGTGGGTTCCTAGGCAGGAGGTGATCAGCTGCGGCAGAGCTTGTAGACCTTGAATTCTTAATCGTATAATTACTCAACCCTGAACACAGAAAAACGGGTACATACGGGTACATACGGTAACATACGACCCGGCCATGTAAACCCTCGCCGTCCTATGCAATAAATTATTTGTTCCTGATCATGCGTGCTGTAAGCCCTCGCCATCCCTTGCAAAACAATAGTATTTCCTGATCGTGCGTGCTGTAAACCCTCGCCATCCCTTGCAAACACCATTATTTCCTGACGTTCATACACCGATGTGACTTTCCTTCACAATGAAGTACTCTTTAGATCTCCGTAGGGTGGTTTGCGGGTGGGACTGGTGGCCACCGCAGGTGGGTTCTTAGGAAGGAGGTGATCAGCTGCGGCAGAGCTTGTAGACCCTAAGTTCTTAATCCTATAACTACTAAGCCCTGAACACAGAAAAAAACGGGTACATACGGGTACATACGGTGACATACGACCCGGCCATGTAAACCTTCGCCATCCTATGCAAAACATGTTATTTCCTGATCATGCGTGCTGTGTCGTCATCCCTTGCGAACAATAGTATTCCCGGATCATGCGTATTGTAAACCTTCGCCATCCCTTGCAAACGCAATATTTTCTTGACGCTCATACACCTATGAGACTGTCCTTAACAAGGAAGTACTCTTTAGGTCCCCGAGAGTTCTTTATGGTCGGGTGGTTTGCGGGTGGGACTGGCGGCCACCGCAGGTGGGCTCCTAGACAGGAGGTGATCAGCTGCGGCAGAGCTTGTAGACCTTCAATTCTTAATCCTATAATTATTAAACCCTAAAGCCCGTAAAACCGATTACATACGGGTCGCATACGCCCCGGCCTCATCCCTTGCAGAAAATAGCATTTCCTGATCACGCGTGCAGAATCCATTGCGATTTACATCACAAATGCGGCTCCGCGGACGAAAACCCTCGCCATCCTTGCAACAACTATTATTTCCTGATCATGCGTGCACAATCCATTGCGATTTACTCACAAATGCGCGTCCGCGGACGTAAACCCTCGCCATCCCATGCAGAACACATATTTCC